AAAGGAATTTTTCCTACACATCCCTCAATATACTGATACTGATACTGATACCAAATGACCAAAGCTTACGTAAATCTGGTTTGAACCAAAATCCGTTCAATCAAAATTCCTTTAAACCGATCACGCCAGTGCTGTTAAATTTTTCTGCCCGTGTTCATAATCTATTAGTTTCAATACTAAGCAGGTATTTATCTTGCAGCCAAAATACTCAGTCGACTGAGTGGCAGCAGCATTACTTTCAAAATCATTATTTTGAAAGTTACAGTAGTTGGTGAGGAGCCCTTTTACAACGCACAATGGAGGCAGTGAACCCGAAGCCGTTCCTCAACAGTATTACTGGCAAGCTTGTCATTGTCAAATTGAAATGGGGCATGGAGTACAAAGGCTACCTGGTTGCCGTAGATCGGTACATGAATTTGCAACTGCACAGTACTGACGAGTACATCGACAACTGTTTCACCGGGAGTCTGGGTGAAGTCCTTATTCGATGTAATAACGTGTTGTACATAAGAGAGTGTGAGGATGAACCCCGAGCTGAAATGGAATAAGGGTTCAATTTTAATAAATCTTTTTTTATCAATCGTCCCATTATACGTTTCGCGCCGTAAGTTGTATCGCGATAAATGGAGTTGCTCAGCATGGACAGGGCGTGGTACGCAGTCCTCTGATGAGTTTGCGCCCTGGGTGAATCTGTCTGATTGTCTTGACCTTGTATTGGGATGTTGATCGGTTTTTTATTGTTCCTCCCAACACAAGCTATCCTTAGTGTGCCGCACTTTAGTGCTTCATTCGGATTTTAATTTATCCGTTCAGTCTTCGATGCGTGACCTCAGCACACGATCTGGTACATAGTTCCAGTGCATACTGACTCAGTCACCGCTCCCTTCATTAGACAGATTTCAATTCCGTTTGGTTTGTTTCAAATGCGTAGAAGATTGCATCACCGTCTTCGGGCCAGATGGTGTATGGTACCTATGATCGATTGTATCGGGCTATGGTAATGCTCTTGACCACCGCTATGTATCTAGTTTTGACTAGATATCAGGCCTTGCGACGAAGTAATCTATGTTCACAGCTGCTAATGATTTAAAAACCTGTGCCAGGAATGGTTTTAACGTCGGTTTTTATTTATGCTGTGTCAGTGTTTCATGCATCCAACCGCATCTAGGTCA